CCTTCCCTTCCCCCTCCACCCAGCACAACAATTACCAGCTGGAGGCAGCCATGTGCAGCAGCGAGGACTGATGACTGTTTAGTTTATGTCCAAAGCTCTGAAGCGGCGCCGAATCCTTGGATCCGATTCAGCCAAATCGAATCGGATAGTGATTTGAAACACCAAATTGAATCACTGTCCCTCCAAATCAGCCAATCCGAATTCAATACTTGCTGCTTTGCACAGGCCTAATAGTGAACCATAAACTGAATATAAAGCAACAGAAGTGTCGCTTGCAAATCAAGGCAAGTGACTCTTCCTCTCTATACAGCATCTGTGAGGCCTCACTTGAATACCACCTCTACTTTTGACCCCATGGTTCAAAAAAATATGGATAAATTAAAAGGACTCTAGTGTAAAGTGACAAAAATGATTAGAGGCCTAGGAAATATGCCTTATGAGGAAAGTCTGAAAGAAATAGCATTATTTAGTCTGGAGAAAAAAATATTGGCAATTTGATAACAGTCTTCATTAACCTGAATGGCAGCTCTAAAGAGCATGGAGATAGACGCACACTGTGGCTGTAGGGGACACAACTGGGAGCCCTATACTTCAACCAAAATATTTCACACAGATCACAGGCTGCAGAAAATGTAATACGTAAGGGGCAAAAAAAAAAAAAAAAAAAAAATCAACTGGTGACAAGAGCAAAGGCTGTATTGGTTACAGGCTTAATTCTGATGCAAAAATTAACTTAGATCAGGGGTTGGCAACATATGGTCAACAGAACCACTGGGTCTGGCCCACAGAACCTGAAGGGTTTTGCCCATGCCCAGGCCCATGCTGGGGCTAAGCAGCAAGAAGCTTCACCAGGGGTTGGGCAACTGCCAGCAGTGCCCTTTGCCACTATTGCTTCTTTCCCTGCCCCCTAGTGCCCCCTGGCTATAACAGGGCCAGCCGGCTGGAAGCTGTTTCCATGCTGCTGCCCCTTCTTCCCTGCCCCACATCCTGCCACTTCCCAGCTGTGGCAAAATGTGATAACAGCATGGAACAGCCTCCAGCTGCCCAGCCCCAGTGCAGCTCCCCACTGGCTAGAAACCACAACCACTGCAGTGCAGGGGGCTAGAAGAAGCAGTGGAAGCATGGGTACAGTTCCTAGTGGTCTGGCCCTGACACAGGCTCAGGGTAAGTGCCCCCACCATTAATGCACTATGGAATCCACCCAGACCACACTGGACTGGAGTCAGGTTGTTCCAGCCTGCTGCTTGAAAAGGTTGGTGCCTGCTGGCTTAAGCAAAAAGCTAGCAAAAAGAAAAATATTCTACATGACTTCCCAACTTCAGAGTGCAAGATTAAGAGGCTTTTATAGGAAACCCAAGGCCCAAATTTCCTCACAACAAGAAAAACTAAGACAGATTACTTGATGACTGCTACTTAATTCACACTTGCCACCTAATTTAATCACAGTAATTATCCAATGATAATTCTAGTTAGACGACTTGACCTCATCTGACAGATTCAAAAACTGATTACAATTCCTGAGATTATGGAGTCAGGTGCTGTTCACATTTCCCCCCCCCTGCCTCCCACTTTAGAGGGTTTAGACAGGCTTTCTGGAAAAGCCAAGATTTTAAAGTAAGATGCCAGAATTTACAGACATTATTCTAATTCTCTAAGCCCTTACTGACCTGGTATTAGGTGCCAAGCCTCTTGGTGCCATTGCACATAGACAGGGGATTGCCATAATGCTCACGTTCAAGAAGTGACCCTCAATTTTGTGCCACTGATCCTTGCTGTCTAAATATAACAGAGTTACTATGTATTACTTCAGTTTAAGCCAAACACAGTTCCTGTTTAAGGAATATGGAACTTGAAACTTACCAGATTTTTTAATTCCGTCTTTCTTCATTCTAAAAAGAGAATGTGTTGTATAAAATAATTTAAAATAATGAGAAAAAATTTCTAAGCAAATAAACAATGTTGTTTCACGTTAAAGTCTATGTAATAATAATTCAACTATTAACAACAGTAATACTGAAATCAACAGTACTGATTGCTGGCTTCTGCAGAGCCTGTTTCAAGAGGTAAAAAGCACAGCAAAGATAAATGAATACTTTATAGAATGAAAATTAATAGTTGTCTATATCATAATCCTCAAAGAAGTAAAGTTCCATTTTGGGTTGCAATATAACTGCATTAAACAATATTTCATTTTGTTCTCACTTTATCCTCAAAATACAGACTTCATACAATACAGGATTTCTTAATTCAGTTTTACTTACCTATCATTCTCCTGAAAGCACTGCTGTGGATTGTTCAGAGGTAGAAATGATAACTCACACTCCTCTGGCCTAGAAAAGCATTGACATTCATTACCACAGAAACCAATGTTCTGACTTCTGTCTGTGCTTTTTATCTAGGCTAAAATGCATTTGAAAATGATACTGAGTTCAGTATTAAGTATATTCGGGAGTTTTTCCTCTTGAGCTGTAATAATGCAAATATATAGCAGTACCCAAATGGTGTCTGACTAAATTCATTCACCTTTTCATACTAAAAAAATCCCAACTATCACTTAACATACAGTAAAATCCAGAAGCTAAAATTACATTTTCATGAGGAAAACAAAAATCTTGAAAAAGGGGTTAGCATACTTAAGACTTGCTAGGGTTCTGATTACAGCAAAATCTTTCCGCTGGTTGGGGGGCATCCAACGATGTTTTTCAGCCAATGCTAGAGTCCTTGCACCAAAGGCAAACATGGCTGAAAACCCAAAACGAAGAAGCTTGCTTGGACTACTGAATGTGCAGATGTCCACTGGTTGAATATGTCCTGAAACATGAACATCAACATCAAAGCTGCAAACAGATTATTTGTTTCCAACCACAGCTTACCTATACTTCTAAGCTGAAACTATCAGGAAAGTCTAGGTCAACTGAGAAAAAGAGATCTTGAATGCTACTAATTTCTTCTTCAGCAAGTTAAGAGTTATGGACGTGGAATGGAGCAACACACAAAGTTAAGGCTCTACAAATGTATCTTCTGAATTCATATTCAGATGCTTTATAAATGCAATTCAGCATTTTTTCCACACAGAATATTCTGATTTTTTTTGACAATTTAAGCACCATCTTTAAATAAATTCATTTGTTATTGAAAAGATGTTTATATATTTTTATTATTTTACTGGTGGTTCTACAGTGGGCACTAGCAATTGAAATTCAGCACAAAGTCCCTACTAGTAACAGATAAGCCTTTACAGTTCTTACTGGCTGATTTACAAGAATTTTAAAATATACTTCAAAACACATATGCCATTTTTGTTTTACTGAATAAACTACCAGTCTGCCAATATTCCAGGCATAGGTGTTTAAAAAAAACTGACGGGAAGTTTTTATTAAACAGACCCTCTGGATTTTCATTGGGTTTGTGTGTGCATGATGTGAAAGAATGGAATTTCAGACACAATATGCAAAGTCTATGTAATACTATTTATTAAACAAGTGCATCTATGAAAGAAGAGCTATCCCATCACTGATTGTACACATTATGTAGTAAATTGTTCTGCTGTAATCTCAAAAGTAGATACTCATGTTGAGGTTACTTTCCCCTCCGTTTTCCTTTTAAAAGAAAGAAATCAAGAAAGTTGCATACAAATTTCTGACGTAAGAGGAATGCTAGCATTGAATAGTAAATTTTCTAAGAGTCAAAAGTGCAAATTTAAATTTGCCAAGGTAATCTTAACTTTACCCCTTAAGCATATGTATAATATTCAATACATAAAAACATATAATATTCAATATAAGAATAATTGCATATTATTTTTCATATATATTGAAAGCCTGCTTCAATCACTGTACACATTTTATATGAAGGATTTTGTAACTAATGAGTGTTTCTTCTGTATGTCCTTGATACTTTACTAAATCTGTTGTATGCAGCAAAATATGCACAGAGATAGGAAAGTATATGAGAGAGGATATGTGCAGATATTACACTCATATTAACCTAACTAGAGTTAGGTCCATCTAAGTGCCAAACTACATATGTTTGGGGAGGTTAGTCAATTCCCACAAGCAAACGTCTAAATATCATTTTCTAGCCATCAATCCCCTCCCTTGAAGGTCTTACACCTTCACATTATAAATTAAGCATGATCAAGGCAATTACCTGGAATGTTTACGAGATTGTGGAGAGGACCTCCACCTGTCGTTCTGGGAAAAGTATGACAACATCTGTGATCAGGGGCTCCAACAGGCTGAATGTTATGAGGAGCCCTTCACCACTGTTCGAATGTCGCCCATACCCCCGGCCTTTTGCCTCGGCATTGTCTAACCTGGCAACCAAGTTTTAGATAATGAAGTTTAAGCAGGCCTCTCATCCTGGGGCCAGGGAATGTACAGCCAGACATGTCTAACCTTTTACTTAGCATTTTAGGTAGCATTCTATTCAGCAATCAGTGCTTATCTGATTGTCAAGATGGCTGTCTAGTAGGCCTGTGCAAATAGGGAAGTATTAGATTCGGATTCGGCCAGTTCAGAGAACAGTGATTTGATTCGGTGATTCAAATCACCGTCCCCATTTGATTCGGCTGAATCAGAATTGGAGATTCAGCACTGATTTGGAGATTCGGATCGGACGGGGAGAGGCAGGCACAGCTGGGCGGCTGC